CTCGAGAGCCACAAGAAGGAGCACGACGGACAGAAACCCAAGGAGGTCATGATGTACTGTACCGGAGGTATTCGCTGTGAGAAGGTTGGTGCGTATCTGACGCAGTACAAGAACATCTCTTAATCGGGCTCACGGCACTCATGAGTTGGTGGAAGCCAAGTGCTCAGCTCAATGAAACCTGCGAATTACGGCATGAAAGACTACCGCTTCAACACCCACCGACGTGTCGTAAAGCGTCCGAATGGAGGTGGTAAAAGTGTGGACTACGATAGCAGTTACTCAGCATGTTCTTAATGTCAGCGGCTCTCTATAGACGGAATCTCGGAAATAATAAATACGAGTATTTCATTTCATCGGTCAACATTGTCCACTCTGATGCATGCACCTCGTTTAAAAAGCATCGGAACGGCGACTCCAGCAACTCGTCACATTTACTAGTGCGCTCGCCGCCAACAAAAAGACCTCTAGAAGGCAAGTTCAAGGGCTGTTATTGGAGAGAGACAAATTGAATCTTTAATATCTGAGAAGCGTTCTGTACCGAGCCAAAGATGCTGTTCTCGATAATCAAGATATTGAATAAGGTTTGTCTTTCGCTTTGCTTCCATCTCTACTGCAACATTTTGAATCCCGAATTCTGATTCTCGCGTGGCCTTGAATCTTGACACGGATGGGCGTGGTTTTCGAGCTTTCGTTGTTTGGGATGTGCAAATTGAGCTCTGTCTTCATGTCAGAAACCTCAAAGCTATATCACACCACGATATCTAACATGTCTTAAATGTGTCCCGTCAAATCCGTACAAAGGATCCGTACAAAGGATTTGACGGGACACATTCAAAACATGATATATATCGTGGAGTGACATTGATTTGAGTTTCTCGAGATGTAAATGGAAATAATATCACTATCGCAAGCTCCACAACAACGACCGTTAGATTTCATGAAGACGCTTTTAATTGATCTTGATCAGGCTCACGGCACTCATGAGTTGGTGGAAGGCCAAGTGCTCAGCTCGATGAAAACTGCGAATTACTGCATGAAAGACTACAGCTTCAACACCAACCGACGTATCGTAAAGCGTCCGAATGGAGGTGGTAAAAGTGCGGACTACGATAGCAGTTACTCAGTATGTTATTAATGTCAGCGGTTCTCTATAGACGGAATCTCGGAAATAAGAAATACGAGTATTTCATTTCATCGGTCAACATTGTCCACTCTGATGCATGCACCTCGTTTAAATTAAAAAGCATCAGAACGGCGACTCCAGCAACTCGTCACATTTACTAGTGCGCTCGCCGCCAACAAAAAGACCTCTAGAAGGCAAGTTCAAGGGCTGTTATTGGAGAGAGCCAAATTAAATCTTTAATATTTGAGAAGCGTTCTGTACCGAGCCAAAGATGCTGTTCTCGATAATCAAGATATTGAAATAAGGTTCGTCTTTCGCTTTGCTTCCATCTCTACTGCAACGTTTTGAATCCCGAATTCTGATTCTCGCGTGGCCTTGAATCTTGACACGGATGGGCGTGGTTTTCGAGCTTTCGTTGTTTGGGATGTGCAAATTGAGCTCTGTCTTCATGTCAGAAACCTCAAAGCTATATCACACCACGATATCTAACATGTCTTAAATGTGTCCCGTCAAATCCGTACAAAGGATCCGTACAAAGGATTTGACGGGACACATTCAAAACATGATAAACATCGTGGAGTGACATTGATTTGAGTTTCTCGAGATGTAAATGGAAATAATATCACTATCGCAAGCTCCACAACAGCGACCGTAAGCTCTCATGAAGACGCCTTTAATTGATCTTAATCGGGCTCACGGCGCTCATGAGTTGGTGGAAGGCCAAGTGTTCAGCTCAATGAAAACTGCGAATTACTGCATGAAAGACTACCGCTTTAACACCAACCGACGTGTCGTAAAGCGTCCGAATGGAGGTGGTAAAAGTGCGGACTACGATAGCAGTTACTCAGCATGTTATTAGTGTCAGCGGTTCTCTATAGACGGAATCTCGGAAATACGAAATACGAGTATTTAATTTCATCGGTCAACATTGTCCACTCTGATGCATGCACCTCGTTTAAAAAGCATCGGAACGGCGACTCCAGCAACTCGTCACATTTGCTAGTGCGCTCGCCGCCAACAAAAAGACCTCTAGAAGGCAAGTTCAAGGGCTGTTATTGGAGAGAGACAAATTGAATCTTTAATATTTTGAGAAGCGTTCTGTACCGAGCCAAAGATGCTGTTCTCGATAATCAAGATATTGAATAAGGTTCGTCTTTCGCTTTGCTTCCATCTCTACTGCAACATCTTGAATCCCGAATTCTGATTCTCGCGTGGCCTTGAATCTTGACACGGATGGGCGTGGTTTTCGAGCTTTCGTTGTTTGGGATGTGCAAATTGAGCTCTGTCTTCATGTCAGAAACCTCAAAGCTATATCACACCACGATATCTAACATGTCTTAAATGTGTCCCGTCAAATCCGTACAAAGGATCCGTACAAAGGATTTGACGGGACACATTCAAAACATGATAAACATCGTGGAGTGACATTGATTTGAGTTTCTCGAGATGTAAATGGAAATAATATCACTATCGCAAGCTCCACAACAGCGACCGTTAGCTCTCATGAAGACGCCTTTAATTGATCTTAATCGGGCTCACGGCGCTCATGAGTTGGTGGAAGGCCAAGTGCTCAGCTCAATGAAAACGGCGAATTACTGCATGAAAGACTACCGCTTCAACACCAACCGACGTGTCGTAAAGCGTCCGAATGGAGGGGGTAAAAGTGCGGACTACGATAGCAGTTACTCAGCATGTTATTAGTGTCAGCGGTTCTCTATAGACGGAATCTCGGAAATACGAAATACGAGTATTTCATTTCATCGGTCAACATTGTCCACTCTGATGCATGCACCTCGTTTAAAAAGCATCGGAACGGCGACTCCAGCAACTCGTCACATTTACTAGTGCGCTCGCCGCCAACAAAAAGACCTCTAGAAGGCAAGTTCAAGGGCTGTTATTGGAGAGAGACAAATTGAATCTTTTATATTTGAGAAGCGTTCTGTACCTAGCCAAAGATGCGGTTCTCGATAATCAATATTTTGAATAAGGTTCGTCTTTCGCTTTGCTTCCATCTCTACTGCAACATCTTGAATCCCGAATTCTGATTCTCGCGTGGCCTTGAATCTTGACACGGATGGGCGTGGTTTTCGAGCTTTCGTTGTTTGGGATGTGCAAATTGAGCTCTGTCTTCATGTCAGAAACCTCAAAGCTATATCACACCACGATATCTAACATGTCTTAAATGTGTCCCGTCAAATCCGTACAAAGGATCCGTACAAAGGATTTGACGGGACACATTCAAAACATGATATATATCGTGGAGTGACATTGATTTGAGTTTCTCGAGATGTAAATGGAAATAATATCACTATCGCAAGCTCCACAACAGCGACCGTTAGCTCTCATGAAGATGCCTTTAGTTGATCTTAATCGGGCTCACGGCACTCATGAGTTGGTGGAAGGCCAAGTGCTCAGCTCAATGAAAACTGCGAATTACTGCATGAAAGACTACCGCTTCAACACCAACCGACGTGTCGTAAAGCGTCCGAATGGAGGTGGTAAAAGTGCGGACTACGATAGCAGTTACTCAGCATGTTCTTAATGTCAGCGGTTCTCTATAGACGGAATATCGGAAATAAGAAATACGAGTATTTCATTTCATCGGTCAACATTGTCCACACTGATGCATGCACCTCGTTTAAAAAGCATCGGAACGGCGACTCCAGCAACTCGTCACATTTACTAGTGCGCTCGCCGCCAACAAAAAGACCTCTAGAAGGCAAGTTCAAGGGCTGTTATTGGAGAGAGACAAATTGAATCTTTAATATTTTGAGAAGCGTTCTGTACCGAGCCAAAGCTGCTGTTCTCGAT